GCCATCAGTCAGAGAGCGTCCCAACCCGGGGCTGCTGACAAGACTGTCCCAAGTCCACCCTCTATCCCACTACCAGAGGGACAGGTGCAAAACTGCCCTGGCCAGTCACTCCCCTGCGTGAACCTCCAGCAAACACCAGCCCCGCCTCACCTGCTGGCCCTCACCCCAACGAGACCCCCTCCCTTGCATCCCTGATGTCTCTCTGGCCTGGGCAAAAGCTGCCCCCTGCTTGGCCCCCCAACCCCCACCCGGACCTGACTCCCTCCTGGTTGTGGCTAAAATAGAAGGGAGTTAGAGGTCACAGTAGTGCTTGATGAGAAGCTAACTCAGAGGACCCCCAGGCTGACACAGCGCTCTGGTAATTCAAGGCTGTGCTGTCCTTGACCCTTCTCAGCAAGCCAAGGACAAAGCTTAAACTCTGGTGACCCGGGGTTGGTAGCCGACAGCCCACGGCACAGGAGCAGTCTCTGGGCACCAGGACGGAAGCTCCGGTCCTGCCTATGTGTGCCAACACAGAGGCAGTACGGGGATCCCCAGATGCCCCATACGTAACCGCTGAACTCCAGAGCTCGTGTGCCCAGGAGAGACCCTGAAGCAGAGCTGGAGTAACCACAAAGCTGTAAATCACATTTGCTACTGGAATTTCTTGTCACTTCGGACACAAGCTGTATTTATTCTAGACCTTTTAGTTGTTCGAGGAAACGATCAATTAATCTATTAGCCTTGTGATCAGTCACCCACCACCACCCCAAGGTGGGGGCTCCTACTGGTCCAAAATCTTCACACAGGCTTTCTCCCCAAGTTAAAGGAAGCCCCCAGGATGGGGTTTCTTTTGGGGATGAGTGAAAATGTCCTAAACGGACTGTGGTGATGGGCTGAGAACCCCTGAACCACATACTTTAAACGGGCGAACTGAACAGCTTATAAAGCACATATGGGTAAAGCCGTTTCAGAACAAAACAAAAGGACCCCATCAGACCCTCACCCACACCAGCCCCTCCTGAGCCGGGCAGGGCTGTGCCCTCCACATCAGCGTCCGGGGAGAAGCAGCTGGTCCCATGGCTGAGGATTCTTGCCGTAACAAAGGTGACAGATGGTGGGTGCTCCCCACCAAGAAGCCGGCCTGACATCTCCTACCGGCCCAAATGGGACACGCGATTAAAACAAGTGACAGTATGGCGCCTGGGTGGCTCAGTCGTTAAGCGTCTGCCTTCGGCTCAGGTCACGATCCCAGGGTCCTGGGATTGAGCCCCGCATCGCGCTCCCTGCTCGGCAGGAAGCCTGCTTCTCCCTCTCCCACTCCCCCCTGCTTGTGTTCCCTCTCTCGCTGTGTCTCTGTCAAATAAATAAAATCTTTAAAAAAAATAAATAAATAAAACAAGTGACAGTAATGGATTATAACCCACTGGATAAAACAGGAAACAATGAGCCACCGACGCAAGTCACTCAAGGAGTGAATGGAGAGTTTGACGAGAAACTGGGTACTGGGGCTCTGGAGCCCCTCAGCATGCACACCGTCAACCCCCAAGGGAAGGGGCCATATTCACAAGAACCCTCCGTACCAGAGCCAGTGGGAAGCCGAGGCCCAGGCAGGACAGAGAACCAGCTTTGCTTCTGATTCCTGTGTGCCCTGCGTCTAGACGAGAGGAGCCACCAGATGCCCGCAGTGGGGACGACGTACAAGACCGCCAGCCTGAGATCCACCCAGCATCCAGGTCCTGGATGTGAGGCAGAGATGGAGGACCTAGTTAAAGGGACTAAACAGCAAGGAGAATGTGATGCAGGAGACTCCAGACGGGGCCCCGGGGCCACGGAGGGCATCACCGAACAGACCAGAGGGTTGGACGGCACTGAGGTGCCCATGCTCATTTCTCAAACTCGACGGCTGTGCCGTGGACGAGAGACTGTCGTAGAAAACGTTTCCTAAGTTACTCCAAGTGATAGGAGTCAAGTCAGTGCCTAACTCCCAAACGGTGTGGGTAAAAAAGCTCATTATGTTTTTAACTCCTCTAAGTTTTAGGTTGTTTTTGGGAAAAAAGCAACGTGATTCTCAGCACAGCCATGTTACTCTCCCATTTTACAAGTAGTTATGTGAAGGCTCAGAGTGGCTGTCACCTCACAACAGCAACACAGATAGGACGGCTGAGCCCGTCTCCCGAGAAGTCACCTGCTGGGGCCCACCAGCCAGGTCCACAAGGGACAGGCAGGGGTGGGGTGGGACGGCCCAGCGCTGTGCACCCCTGCGCAGGGGCCAGGTGAGCTCTCCACAGCCAGGAGCAGACGGCACTCCCAGCCCATCACTCTGCTCCGACCGGCTGCGCCACCGTGGTGACAAGAGCTCAGGGGGTGAGCAGCACAGGGTGCCCTCGTCTGAAGCCGCGCCCCCATCCCCGGAGGTGGGAACCGTCCAGGACCGCGGTCACCTGCCGCCGGCCTCACATCCCACGCCTGGGTCCGCAGCCAAGGAGGGCGTGTGCGCGCAGAAGCCTGCGCGTGGGGGTCTGCAGCGGCCCCACTCACAGTGACTGAGAGGTGGGGAAGTGCCCGGACGGCCCATAAACAAACAGGTCGTAGAGGTGCCCCCGCTTTGTGAAAGTTCGCGTTACCCCACTTCACTCTTGTGAAGGACCTACCTTACTACCTGTTTTTACAGATCAATTTGAAGATTTCCACTTTTAGGGGAAGAAAAGGCAAAAAGCGAAAACAGCGTCCAGCGGCGGATTGCACCCAAGCAGAGAGCGCGGTCCACCTCCTGCCCCACGAACCACCCGCGGCATCTCAGCCTCCGGCCCCGGCGCTCTCAGCTGCGTCCCTGAGCATCTGGGCTCGATCTCGACTGATTTTGTGTGTCCATTAGCTAGACATGTCCTGGGGATCAGAAAAGCCTGTGAGAAGTGATTTTGGGGGGTCTGGGAATGCTCAAAAATTTTCCACGTAAACTAACGGCACTTGATCCTTCGCCTTATGTCATCTCGGCTTATGGAGGGTTTCACAGGAGCGTGGTGCTTTCAGACGGCAGGGGGAGACTGAGTATCACTCAGCCACACGGGCAATGAAATCCTGATGTGTGCGACCAACACGGATGAACACTGGAAACACGCTACGTGAGGAAAGCTGCACACAAAGACCCACGTGGTGGGATTCCATCTACATGAGAGTCCAGAATCGGGAAATCTGTGCAGACACAAAATGGGTGTCAGCCACGGTCAGAGGCTGGGAGGGGACAGCTCAAGGACAGCGGTATCTTTCAGGACGAAATGGTCAAACATGGACTCTGGCCATGGCTACACAGCTCTGTACTGAGAACTACGGACCTGTTCGCGTGACACAGGGGACTCGTGAGGCGCATGAATGACAGCTCAATAAAACGGTTTTAGAAAAAGAACGCACAGGGAAATAAACAGGACGCCTGCTCCTGGACACAAGCTCTCCTGGGGGCAGGTGCTGGTGGCCACCCTCCATCTCCTCCTGAGGCTTCCCTGCTCCGACCAAGGACAGTGCGTGCTGACGGGGGGGGGGGGGGACACTGCCAGTCAGACACAGGGGCGGCCATGAGCCGTCCCAGCCTCCCAGCATACCGAGTCACGGTGTCCACACAGCATGCTCGGGGAGGGAAGGACCACAGTGTGGCCTGAGAATGGCCTAGAACCCAGCACTCAGGAAGCCATGAACACTCTGGTTTGAGGACGACAGTCAGGTAGGACTTCTGTTTTTTCAGAAATTTCTAGTGTGCTTGTTTCCTTAATTTTCTGACCGAAGAAATTTCAACCAAAACAATAAAGCATCCCCCCTATCCCTGTCACACAGAGGAAAAGGCCCGAACAGCAATGGGACCCCTGGCCCGGGGCGCCACCAGAGAAGACTTGGGGGCTCAGCAGTGTCCGCCAGGCCATCAAGCTTTATCGAGCTCAGCCCACCAGCTGTGCTGGGCAGGCCGGTTCTGCCAAATCACTTTGGAGAACAGGAACTATGACCTCCAGGAGAGAAATAAGCCTCCACCCCTGAGCCTCAGCCAGTCCCAGGGGCCCCGCCTCTTTCCACCCAGCTGATGGAAAGGGGGTCACCAAGCACCACTCCCCCAGCATACCGCAAGGCGTTAGGAACTGGGGTTCAGTCAAAGCCTGGATGGGCTTTTAGCGGGGCTCACCCACACACCTCAGCCCAGCAGTGACAGGGCTGGCTGACCCGGACGGTGCCCACCTGCCACCCATGCAGCCCTGCCCACGCCGCAGCACCGCCCGGAAAGCTCCGGAACCCACACGGCACTCACTCACACCTGCACTCTCCACGGTCCGGCAAACGTGCAGCTGCCTCGGACCCTCCGGGTGAGCAGGGCTGAAACGGAATTAGAGGCGCTGAGGGGAAACTAGAGGGGCACAGTGGGGCTGCCCACAGGAGTCTCTGCCTCTAAGTCATATAAGCCGACCTCCCTGCCTCGGACACATCAACCCCGAGCCACGGGGCCAACACAAAGAACAGGTTCACCGTGCGCTCCAAACACAAGTCTACAAAGAGGACGTCCAGACAACCGCAGCTAACTCGCTTCTTCTCCCGAATTTTGTGAGATGTGTATGAACAGTTGTTCCCATGCAATGGGTACAAAGTGTAAGTGCTACTTGGGAACCAGCTCCTGTCAAGTCACACCACTGGTAATCTTCCTGCAACAACGCACCAGAAGCAGGAAGAACTGCAGAGCATTTTATTCATGGACACCCCCCATGTGTGGCCAGTCCCCGGCCCAGGGAAGGCTGTCTGCCAGGCAGTGTTAGGTCTCAGTGGACTTCCTGGCCTGACCAACGTCAGCACAGCGTCCGTGCTCTGCGGCACGGGCAGTGAGCAAGGGGCCCGACCCTCTAACACAGTACATCAGGGAGCCACGGGTGTCCGTGTCCAGAGTCTCGGGAGCAGGGCCCCATGGTCCTGCGTCCCAACTCCACTCGGCGCAAAATGGGAGGAGCCACAGGGAGAGCGCCCCCCTGCGTGTGCTGGGCCTGTTGGGGTCACTTCCGGCTCTGCAGCGGCCGCTGCTTGGTCTGTAGCTCCTGGCAACCGGCCACCTTCACTCTGGCCCCTGCCCGAAGCCGCCGCCTCTTCTTTCGAGCCCCTCTCCCACCTGGGCCCCCGAGCTGCTCCTGCGGCCCCGTGGGCTCAGGCCCCGAGCCCCGCCGCCGCCGCCGCCTCATCCTCCTCTCGGATCCGGAGCTCGGGTCTGGCCGTGAGTCCTCCTTCCTGCCTTTCCCTAAAACAGCAAGGCCACGTAAACGAGGCACCATGAAGGCCTGGTTAGCCCACTTCCGTTCTGACTGAAGGCGCCAGCTCCAGGCCCACACAGAGGCCACACAAGAGGACCCGAAGGCCTCAGCAGCAGACCCGCCCCAGCCGACCAGAGCGTCCTGCCAGTGTAGATGTGAAGTTCCACGGCCGTCAGGCAGATGCAACATGGTGCTGGCTCCCGGCCGGGCAGGCTGACCGGAGCAGGCCTTCAGGAAAACCAGGAGGCCGGCAGAGTTGGGAGCAAAAAGGCTGCGGAGGTATGACTCAGAGGGTGGGCAGGCCCGAACCCAGAATGGAGCGGGCTCAACCTGGTGCACAACGGAGCCATGAGCCAGGCCAGTGACCGCAGAGAGGGCCCAGGCGTAAGCCGACATGGACGGAGGTGGCCCAGGCAGGAGCAGAACCAAGGCAAACCAGGAGACCCTTCAAAGGGCAGACCCCAGAACCCGAGACCGTTAAGCACACATGGGCAACCACGGGAGGGCTCTCAGCCGGTGGGGGGCCGCCAGCTGTCCCTCTTCTGCAGCCCTTTCCTGCCCTGGGGGTTGCGGTGCACAGAGCCCATCTCCACGGCAGCAGGCAGCCCCGTGCCCCGGCAGGACGTGGGGCATAACGAGGGCAGAGCAGCCCGCAGCGGGGGTCTAACCATAGTCCTGTGGATGATCTGGGGAGGAGGGGGGGCAAGGGACACAGACTGCAGGCACCAAAGCCCCATCGCCGGCTGACACCGCCAGTCCTACCTGGCTGCTTCTGTGACCTGGATTTAGGCCGCTTCTTTGTCCTCCTCTCCTGCCCCTCCTCCTGCAGGTTCCTGTAGGCTTTTTCCGGCACGTCATCCTCTGGAAAGAGGCCTAAGGACCAAGGCAGGCCATCAGGAGGCTGAGGGCAGGTTGGGGTGTTTTCAGTGTGCACGCTCAGGGCCGCGAACGACCACACCGGCACCACCTCCCCGCGCTTCGTACCGCCGACTCCAGGCCGTGCATGCGGTGAGACGCCAGCCAGAGCCAGGCTCCGGAGCGCTCACGCCGCATCGCCGTCGATTCCCTAAAAGGCTCAGGCTGAGAGGGGGCCAACGGCGATGCTCTCCGTGTCGATGGGGGTCTGTGCGTGGAAACCCCATCACGTGTACGCGGTATTCATGCACGTCACCATATGAAAACGTTACCTACAAGTACCGAACTTGAGCTCACAAGGAGCACGACAACCTTGGGGGGACGGTGTGATGGAGGAAGGGAGGACAATACAACGACAGTAAAATACCAATGGCAGAGCCAAGGTGGCGGCCATGCGAGTATTCACCGTCGACCCCCCGCTGCCGCTGCTCTACGTCTAAAACCTCACAGTGAAACCGGGGAAAGGCCCACCTTCACTCCTATGCCTCATCATCGGCCGCACCGGGCGTACACAGGGAGGTGCCCAGATCTGCTGCACTGCAAACCAGCCACAGGGCAGGCCACGGAACTCACTAGACATGCAGGTTCTCAGGCCCCTGCCCTGGCAGCTGGCACTGAGCAAAACAAGCCTCCCAGGGACTCCAGCACACACCCGGATCTGAGAGCCACGGAGCGGGGTGAGGACGAGCTGCAGAACCCCTCAAGCCCCCTCTCCCAGAGAGAAAGCTCTGCCTGTGCAGCGATTAGTCCCACTGGAAGGGCGACCGCATGAGCCGGTGCACCCAGGAGGAGGACGGTGTTCCGGGCCAGGGTCTCAGCATGAGATGCTCACCTTCAGCAAGGTCCTGCAACCTGAAAGGAGAGACAGGAGCTCACCATGGTTGCAGCTTCCACACGAGGGCGGACGCGGCCCTCCCGTCAGCTGCCCGGGGGCCGCCCTCGATGACGCCCCTCCACCTGCACTGAGGGCAGACGGAGGCCCCCAGAGACCGGTGGAACAGAGTGAGGGCAACTCCAAGGGGAGGGGGAGGGGTTGCCAGCCACCTTCAGGGCAACTTACTTCCGGATCACTTTGTAGAGGCGCTTCCGGTTCTGGGAAGGGGTGCCCTGCTGACTGGCCACCGCGAACAGTCTGCTGGCCACGGCCTCGTAGTCAAACTGTGGCACAAAGAGAGACACAGTCACCTCCCAGGTGCTCTGGGAACGTGCAGCGAGCAGAGAGAGCACATGGATGAAGCGCAGATCCTCCGGTCAGGTCACAAGGACACACCCGGATGTCCTCCCGAATCCCCTCTACAAACGCTGCGTACAACACGAGGCAGCGAGCACACTCCCCGGGGCCGCCGCCACCATGCGAGGGGACCTCCCAGGCTGGCCTCTGCGACTACACCCTCGGGCAGCCACGTCAAAACAGGGAGAAAGAACACAAGTCACATTAACTTATACAGACGTCATTTAAGCCAATATCCCTAATTCTTACTAATTTAACACATAATCAACATTCACAGCTTTTTAGTAAGCATTCTGCTTCTGCTGGGCTCTGACCCCAAGCGGGACCCGGGGCGACCTCTCGGCACTGCCATGTTCTCTGCCCGGCGCCCCACAACGCGAGCAAGGAGCACACCCGAGGTGGCTGACTGGCAGTGAAGCCCAAGCCCTGTCGGCCGGCCCCAGTCCCAGTTTCAAGGCCTCCCTGCTTCTGTACGTGAGGACCCAGAGCGCCTGCCTTCACGGAGTGCAGCGGCAGAGCCAGGCCCGAGAGCCCAGGCCACCCACCTGGAGGACGGGGCCCACGCTGTCCTCGCCATCTCCCGGCAGCGCCTCGTTCCTATCGCGTGCAGCCCCATGGAGGGAGCCTGGAACAAAAGGGCCCCCGTGAACTCAAAGATGCGTGCCCAGTGTGCAGAGCACCCCAACACAAACACCTGGGAACCAAGAGCCCTGTGTGCCAGGGCCCATGACCTGGGCAGAGGTGCAGGTGTAGGCTGGGGCAGGGGTACGGGCAGCCTCACACGGAGGGGCGAGGTGCCACTGAAAGAGACGTCCCAGAGGAAGGGGCTGAGCAGTCGTCCTTACAACGAAATTAAGAGGAATTACGTGTGGATGTCTTACAATCTTACAAAACCAACGTAGTGTCAGAAATTCCAGAATCAAGGAAGGGGAGCTAGGTCCAGCCACAGGGCAAGCCTGGATCAAGGGACCACAGAGACAGTGTTTCCGATCATCCGGGCTTTGATGTCACTGCCTACAGAATGGTTCTGGACAACAGGCAGGCGACTAGGACAGAGAATGAGAACGGCAGGGCCACAGGCAGGCGCAGTGGGCCTGCCAGCACCCCTGTGTCAGCGTGACTCGGGCTACCAAAGGACAGGATGGGCAAGGTGCACAGGATGGCCGGAGGAAATGCTAGGAGCCCAGGTGGAGGGGGCGTGAACATAACCCCACCCAGGAGCACTCCAGCAGGTGGTCAGAGTTGGCAGCAGAAAAATGAACCCTTGAATCTATATAGTCAAATGACCTTTCCTGGGGGAAAGACCGTTTCTTCAACAAACGGTGCTGGGAGAACTTGACAGCCACAGGCAAGAGGACCAAACTGGGTCCCTCACCCACAGACAAATTTAACTTAAAGGAAATAAAAGACCTACATGTAAGAACTCAAATAATACAACTCTTAAAAAAAAAAAAAAAAACCACTGATCAGGGAGGGGCTCCTGGGTGGCTCAGTAGGTTGAGCATCTGCCTTCGGCTCCGGTCATGATCCCAGGGTCCTGCGATTGAGCCCCATGTCCGGCTCCCTGCTCAGCGGGGAGCCTGCTTCTCCCTCTTTCTATTCCTTCCCTCACTTGTGCTCTCTCCCACTCTCTCTCAAATAAATAAAATCTTTAAAAAAAAAAAAAGGAAACACAGAGCAAAACCTTCATGAGACTGGCCGCACCAGTGACTTCTTAGATGGGGCACTGAAGACACACGTGACAGAACAGACCAACTGAACTTTATGAAAACTCAAACTTCTGTGCATTGAAGCCACTATCCAAAAGGCAGCCCACAGAATGGGGGGAGATATTTGCAAATCACAGACCTGACAGGGCTTGAGCATCCAGAATGCAGAGAGAGGTGCTAACGCTCAGTGGCACACGACTCGCCTGAAAGCAAAGGACTTGAGCCGACACGTCTCCAGAAAGATGCACAGACGGCCAATGAGTGTGTGAAGATGCTCCACGTCCCCGGGTCATCGGGGACGTGCAGACCCAAGCCGCAGTGAGATACCCCCTCACACCCGTGGGGGTGGCTCCTGGCAACAAAACAGGACATCGGATCCCTGCACAATGCTGGTGGGTATATAAAGTGATGCAGTTGCTGTGGGAACTGGGAGGGACCTCAAAAATTTTAAAGAAGAATTATGTGTGACCCCACAATCCCACTTCTGGGTATCTGTCCCGAAGAACTGAAAACAGGGTCTCCAAGAGATCCTTGTTCACCCAAGGTCACTACAGCATGAGTCACAAGAACCAAGACACGGAAGCACCCAAGGGTCCCTTGATGGGTGAGTGGGTAAGCATAACGTGGCCATACCTACAGTAGAGTATTACTCAGCCTTAAAAGAAGGAAAGAAACTGACACATGCTAAGACAGGGATGAACCTTGACACCATGCTCAGTGAAGCAAGCCAGCCACAGAAGGACAAACACTGTGTGATCCGCTCACAGGAGGGACCCAGAGCAGTCAGACCCACAGGGACAGAGAGTAGAAGGTGGGTGCCAGGGGTCTGGGGAAGGGGTGTGGGGAGGGGAAACGACAGTGTTTAACAGGGACAGTTTCAGTATGGAAAGATGGAAAGTTCTGGAGATGAACAGTGGTGATGGCTGCACAAGCTTATGAATGCACTTAACACGTCAACACGGTCAACATCTCTCCTGCCCACGGATGGGGCCGAGGAAGCATTGTTCAAGTGCCCCTGCCGACCGCCATCCTAAGTCAGAGCTTCCCAGAGCCTGGACTGCTGTGGAAGCTCTTCATCAGAGGTCTGAGCTTTCAAACGACCAGTGAGAGTCTGAGGAGCCATTCTGAGCCATGGGGGATGCTCTCGGACTGTGGGGTCATGAGATCCAAATACCCAGCGCCCCACAGGCTCGGGGTTTGTCACCTGCGCCGCTACGGAGGTGGAGGCAGCCATGAACGCAAGGCCCCCAAGGCGGATGGAAGAGTTGCAGGACCAAAGACGACTGTCTCAAGAGAGGGTTCTCAGAGGCTTGCTGCCCACTCAACTGTGAAAAAAATCTCTGTTGGCGGCATTAAGGACGACACTGAAGAACACCGTCGAAGATTATTTCAACACTATGGGAAAACTGAGTGATGGACATCATGACTGAGTGAGGCAGTGGCAAGAAGAGAAGCTCAGCTCTTGTAACATCTGATGACCGTGACTGTGTAGACAAGACCGTCACTCAGAAATACCAGACTGTGAATGACCACAGCCGTGAAGCAAGGAAAGCCCTGCCTGAGCAAGAGATGGTGAGTGCTTCCTCCAGCCAGAGGTCCGAGTGGTTCTGGAAAGTCCGGTGGCCGTGGGGCGTACTGCTGTGGCTCTTTAGGGTTAGGGTTAGGGGCTGCTCTAACAGGCTTGGTAACAACAGGGTGACAACTCTGCGGCCGGCGGAAGCTGTGATGACTTTGGCAGTTACAACAATCTTCCAAATTATGGATCCATGAAAGGAGGGGACTTTGGAGGCAGGAGCTCTGGCCCCTGAGGTGATGGAGGCCAAAACTTTGCCAAACCACGAAACAAGGTGTTCGTGGTGGTTCTGGCAGCGGCGGCAGCAGCAGGAGCTACGGGAGTGACAGGAGGTTCTCATCGCTGCCAGGACACAGAGCTGAGCAGGAGAGGAGAGCCAGGGGGAGCCACGGGGGGGAGGGAGCCACAGGAGGGAGCCACAGGGTGGAGCCAGAGGAGAGCCCCAGAAGTGCCAGGGAAGCTACGGCTTACAAGAGACCTGGGACCTCAGCCACGCACCGTGGCGGCAGGGCCGAGCTGCTGCAAACACCTGTGTGTGTGGGCAGAAAACTCGAAGACTGGATTTGTGACTAACAGTATAACAGAATATTTTAGTTTCTGTTCTGTGGAAAGCGTAAAGCATTCCAACAAAAGGTTTTAATGTAGATCTTTTTTCCACCCATGCTGTTGATCGCTAAATACAATAATCTGATCACGACTGATAGTCTGATCACACTGAACAAATGTGTCTTAGAAAAAAGGATTAACATAGTAAACTTCACATAGTGTGTATTTTACCACCAAAAAAAAAAAAAAAAAAAGAGTGGGAGGCAGGGAAGAGTCCTAAAACTGGTGGAAAACGCACCCCTGCAGCCACGGGACACAACCCAGTCCACGGGGCACATGAGATTAACCCATGTCCCACAAGGACCCACATTAGCATCAAGACCGTCAACAGACCAGGCCGAAGCCCAGGCCCTGACCCCAAAGGCCTTCAGTGGGACCCCACCCACGGCATGTTTCCCCCTTATAGGCGCCGTCCGTCAGCTTGCTCACTCCCCCGTCTAGTGGGCGCTGTGCTGGGGCTGCTCCCGGCACCAGGACGCAGCTGCGATCAACAGAACTCCCGGTCCTAGGGGAGCCGGCATCCGGTGGGGAGACAGGGCCACGAACGACAGACAAGCAATTCATGTAATTTTAAGTGATTTATGCCAGAAAATAAGACATCTTGTGGAGCAACCCCGGGAGGGAGACAGGGTATGGGCGGGGAGGTCCAGGTGGGCCCCGCGATGGAGGGTGGGGACCAGAGAGGAGGGGTGGGCGGGGCAGAGGCACCGGGGAGGAACGGTGGGTGAGAGAGGAGCCAGGCCGTCACGGCACCCTGAGGACAGGAGGCCAGGGGACGAGGCCCGGGACAGGGAGGACACACCCTGGCTGGCGGGCCGGGGACAGAGGCCGGGGGCAGGCTGAGGGCAGGGGGACCAGCCGAGAAGCGAACGCACGGACACCCGCAAGCACCGAAGCTCGCCGGGCCGGAAGGGGCACCTCACTCCGGCTGCACTGACCCCCCCTTCACCTGGCTCCTTGGACAGCACATCCTGCCCGCGCTCATCATCCTCCGACACGCCCTCCTCCTCCTGCGCGTCCAGTTCATTCATAAGGTCTTCGATGGCAAACGGGGCCTGTTCCACGATCGCCTCAAAGACGCCCCGAGTGATGTTATGCAAAACCAGGGAGCTGCGGGACAGCAGGTGCCGGAGCAGGCCCGTTAGGCTGGGTATGCCCATCCCGACCCCCCAGCCCCAGCAGCGGCCACTCCGCTGACCCTGTCCCACACACACAACTCCTTCTCTCTTCCTGACAGGGGAACCCCGTGAGAAAGAAGAACCAGGCCGGAGGAAGCCCCCTGCCACTCACTCCTGGGTCCGAGCAGCAATCGTGCAGAAGGGATCGATGAACTTGAGGTTCTGGTCTGCCGTCAGCTACAAAGAAAGGAGGGGGGGCTGCCTCAGTCCCTTGTGCGTGAGCACGGCGGGGGGGGGCCCTCAGCTGCTGCCCACAGCCCACTGGCCTCACCTCAGCGGCGCCCACTTTGCTCAGCTCCTCCAGGAAGATCTCCAGGAAGTGGCTCTTCACCCCGCTGGGGGCCTGGCTGTCGGGGTGCAGGATCTCCGTCGTCAGCAGCTCCAGCAGCTGCTCGATCTGCCTGAGGAAGGAAAAAGGCCAATACGGCGGGCAGCCACAGCAGGCTACGAGCCTGTGGCAGCCTGAGGCAGCCTGCTCCTACCTAACGGGGAGCTCTGACAGGAACACCATCACAGGCCAGCGCCCTGCCCCCACGGGAGGCGGCCTGGTGATCCGGGTCTGCTCCAGCGCACAGGACCCGTAATTACGGATACGTGACCACTGTCGGCACCTGCACACATGGCAAGGGTGCATCTGAGCCACAAACGGCCAGGCGTGTACACGTTCGCACACGCCCTCCCTTCTGTGCGGGGACCCCAAGTGGAAGGAGAAAGACCTGGCGTGACAAGAGGCTACACCACCGTGTCTCGCGTCTCTCTGTCCTCACGGGGAACTGCCCAGGAGCACACACCAGGGCGGAGCAAAGGCAAAGAAAGGAGACGGGGAAGAGCTGCTCCCCCAGTCCCACTGCACGGAGTCGTGGCCCCAAGCTGGCCACGTCTGCCGTCCCTGAGCATGCTGCTGTTGGTGGCCTCAGAGGCCTGGGGCTCTGGGGTCAGAGAGCTCTGGCGACCAGTCTTTGCTGGCCTACATGCATGGGGGCGCTGAATACCACACCTGAACTGGAGAACACGCATTCCGTAACGAGCCCCGGGGCGGGAGGCGGCCGCGGGACAGCACTGGGAATTTACCGGCCACAGAAGGGAAGGGATGCTGTCTGCGGCTCAGGAAAGGGGAGCCCTCCTCCCAGGCCAGTGACAGTAACAAACCCTGACCAGCCAACCAGGGCTGGCCGGCTGTGCGGGAACGGGGACAGGCTACAGGAACAGACGGCGCAGGCCAATCAGAGGAGCTTCTTCAAAAGGGTCTTTCTGCATCTCTTAGCGGCAGTGAGGAAGGAACTCCTCTCACAAGAGTTATCAGAGATAAAATGTCCCTTCAGCCTTCGGTTCTGCTCATGCACTAGCCACCTATGGAGACCCAAATCCTACGTCCTGACAGCGAGAGCCCTGGCCTCGGCGCCTCGCAGGAATTAGAGGGTGAAAATCAGGCTCCGCAGAGGCACCCTTGCCCTAAACATGACGTCACTCATCATAATTCTAAACTCAGAAAAACCCAGGGAACGACAGGCCACTCCTGCTAGTCTGTCTTATATGGGAAAAAAGTGGGCCTGGGCGAGGATGTAACCTCATTCTCTGGGAACGCACGCTCTGCTGAAGCAGCTGGGCTGGGAGCTGGCGTGGATGGTCGTGTCCAGACTGGAAATAAACTGGTCTAGCGTACCGTTTCATTACAAAACCACTCAAAATATATTGTTTCCAAGTCTCTTTCCTCTTGCCCCACCCTCAAAACCACGCAGCAGGGCGCTGACACGAGGGGCGCCTTCGACATGTCATCAGTAAAGTAAAAAAGCAGTCTGCAGACATCCTGCTCGCTCAGACACCACCGTGCACCCTCCACACACAACACAGAAGCGTTTGAGAAATCTGTATGCTGGGAGCTCACGTTGCTTTTCCTTCATTTTACAAAAGTTTTCCTAGTTCCTTATACTGGGAACATGTCACTCTCATAATTAGAAAAAACTGTAAAGAGATGAAACTTTAAATTAATTTTAAAAACTTTAAAATTGTGAACCCAGAACCCATTTGGTGCTGTGGATCTCGGCCTGCCTCCTGACGTCCAGAGGCCGGCTGCCATCACCGGGAGCCACAGCTCAGCCGGCCCTGCCCCAGCGTGCTCCCCAGGGTCCCCAGAGGGTGGAGGAGATCGGGCTCGGCAGAGCCCCACCGGCCCGGGGCCAGGGGAAGCCCAATGCTGGCCACAAAACGCAGGCCTCTTAATTTGGGGGACACGGACTACCCCCACCACAAGCACCTCTGTCAAAAGTGACAAGTCTGAATAAATTAAAAATTTCTAGAACCAAAGCAAATATCACTGATAACAGAACTCAATATGCCACGTTATACCAAAAAAAGAGAAAAAAAAGCGCCTTAGCTATGCATCAATTATATTGAAAAACAGTATAATGAGAGAACTAAATTTGGATTCATAGTTAAGAACTTACATTCAAGGTTGAAAACATTCATTTCTGTGAACACACGCACAAACTATAATTCTAAAAATGCCTTCATCTTCAGCACCATCAGGTCACCCTTTAATGGGAAGACTGACATCTCTTTATGACGAATAACTGGGAGAGAAGCATATGGCCCTGGCCCCAGTGACAAGACGGGCTCGCCTGTGAGCAGGAGCCGCTCTCGGGATGTGCCGCGAGTACCAACCTTTCTTGCCACCCCTGCATCTTCAGGGCCTTCAAGGACTCATTCAGGACCATCCGCATGAGCTGTGGCATGAACGGAGACCCTCGTTAGTGGGGCACAGCCCGGACTTCCCCAGAACCCCCTCTGCCCCAGTCATCTCAGTGGCCCAGAGTGCAGAGCAGGCCCTCCAGAGCTGTTGGACAGGACACCAGATGTGTCACTGCCCCCAGGCTGGGATGCTCCCGCTTTCCAAGAGCACCAGGAATTCGGGCTCACAGCAGACACCCTGGGGAGCAACTGCTGGGCCATGAACGAAAGCCAAATGAACGGTCCCCATTTCAGGAGTGGGAACAGGGAAGAAAGTGCCTGTCCTCCCCAGGGAGGCTGAGCCCCTTGGGAAAGGCTCCTCTGAGCTTTCTGAAGGACTTCTCTCCCCAACAGACAGTGAAAGTGTTTGCTTTCTCTCTCATCCCCCAGAGGGGAAACTCCCCCCCTTAAAAAAGCCCATCCTTGGGATGCCTGGGTAGCTCAGTTGGTTAGGCGTCTGCCTTCGGCTCAGGTCATGATCCTGGAGTCCCGGGATCGAGTCCCGCATTGGGCTCCCTGCTCAGGAGGGAGCCTGCTTCTACCGCTCCCTCTGCTTGTGTCCTCTCTCTCTCTGTGTGTCAAATAAATAAATAAGATCTTTAAAAAAAAAAAAAAAAAAGCTCGTCCTTTACGACAAATCCCGACTCCTCCCCCATGATTCCCCGTTTCCCCTCAACAACAGCTCACGGCTTTTCCAGCCAGTTTTCCTACTGCCGAGATGTGAAGTGGCACACCCACAGAGGGGTCTAGGAGTGCAAAGCGACAGAGGATGCACATGGGGATGGGTCTCCTGGCCGTCAGGTGTGCCCAGGACACATGGGGCCCAGGGGACACCACTCCCAGGGCCTAGAGCCGCCAGAGGCTTCGCCTCTCCAGGGGCCTGCGCTGCTGGGTGCAGTCATACGGGCCCCCACAAAGCGACAGAAGCCATCCTATCAAGCACGCAGCAACTATATCTTAGGGAAACTCCACTGTCTGGTAAACCCGTGCTTTGTGAAAGTGCATAGCCTGGCCCCTGCCCCCGGCCTCACATGCTTTAGCTTCCATCTTCCTCCCTTCCTGAGCTCCATGACTTGCCCACTAGCTGGTCCTCACCTTGACATCTGAGATACACAGTGTCCACATAACCCAGGGCCAAGTCTGAGCTGGGAGCTGATCCTCGTGGCAGACCATGAGTAACTGCAGCCCCAAAGGCAGCCGTCCTCAATGAGGCCCAGCCAATGACCCGCTGGGTCACCTGCTCTCAGACAGCAACACTATCCTAAGCCCCAGTGAACACTGCTGCGGGAAAAGGAGTGTGGTTCAAATGTGGGGATACGGAGTCTGTAAATCTCCCAATTTTCCTGCATCTCTGAGGGCAAATCAGTAACCTAAGTTCTGAGGAACGCAGCATCAGAAAGAAAAAGGGGATTCTGCATACAACAATTCTACAAACCGTCCTCACCCAGAAGAAAGCAGCTTCCCAGCTGGGCACCCTACAAGTGGACAAGGGTCTACGACTAGGGCATGAACTCCACGCAGGTTTGCTGGCACTCAACGGGCTCGTGGCTACTCCAGCAGGGATGCAAGGCTGCGGCCCCGATCCTCCCCAGACAGGCCATTTTAATCCCCTCCTCTGAACCGCAATCTGTGTGCTGTTTAAGTACTGAGTTCTCTGCCCGCTAACCAACCCTCAGAGACAGGGCACATGCCCGGCAACCCTAGGCCCGTGCACCCCCCTCAGCCCTCAAGACTTATGGGAAGTCACAGTACTCAAGGGCGCAGCCCTGCCAGGGCCAGAGACGCTCGGAGGCCCCATCGCTCGGGGCTGTGCCCCCAGCTCGCCCAGCCCCGCCCCCACGCCCCCATGCCCCCTGCCGCCCGCTGCCGCCACCACGGGCAACCTCACCATGTAGAACTTATCCAGGCGCAGTCTGTCGATGCCTGTCCACTCGCGGTTCATGGTTTGCCAGAACGTCTGAAGGAACAGGTGCTCTGCAGGAAGAAAAAAGGCCAAAGAGAATCACAGGGGAACACAGAAGCCGCGCTGGCAAGCGAGGTGAGACAATATGGAGAAAACTGCTCAGGACATCATGTGCGGCCAACCTCTGGGGTCCTCAGTCCAGTCTGCTGCACTCAGAAGGGATGTTCGGAACTGGGCTTAGAAATGGGGCTGGAGGAACCTCAGAAAGAGAAGCAAAGCCCAGCCACAACCTCAATCTGCAGCCACGTTCTCTGAAGAACAGGCGCAAAGAGCTGGCAAAGCCACTCAAAGAGAAGGGCTGCTCGGGGCGGCTCTTCCCCTACTTGGGCCGGAGACCCTGCCTGACCCCCACAGGCTGGCTCTTCCCCCTACTCGGGCCGGGGATCCGGCCTAACCCCCATGGGCCGGCTCTTCCCCCTCCTGGCTCGGGCCGGGGACCCTGCCTGACCCCCATGCCTGGCCCCACTACATCCACTAACCCATCAGGCATAAACCCTCCCTATAACGGTAGGTCAGACACACAGTGTGGCAAGCCAACCTGTGTCCCCCAAATTCATGTTGAAGCCCTAACCCCAGGACCTCGAATAAGACTGTATTTGAAAATAAAGTCTTTAAAGAGGTAATTAAGGTAAAATGAGGTCACTGGTGTGCGCCCTGCACCAATGTGACTGGTATCCTTACAAGAGATGAGGACCCAGATGCTCACAGAGCGACAAGCATGTGAAGACACAGGAGAAGGCAGCATCTGCACGCCCAGGAGAGAGGCCTTGGGGAACCAGCCCTGCCCACGCCTGGACCTCGGGAGACAAATGGGGCCTCCCTGATCTCCTGCTACAAGTTTCTCCAACACCAAAGGGTCGGTCAGATGGTTCAATAACGGGAAAGCCCGAGTTCACTAACCTACTCAACCGTCACCAGGTGAATGTTTTGTACCTGGCCTTTTGCTGAGCACAGAAACTCTTCTGCAGGTTCTCAGAAGGTAAAAACTATGGCAGACGGACCTCCACTAATGACTCAGATGCTAACGACACACTCCCAAATTGAGACAGTAGTTACCGTCCCTAATTGTGACTACTCTACCTACTTCACTGTAACTGAACTAAACCCATCCACTGTTGGTAACCGGGGCCTCACCAGCAACAGCCACAGCCATCTCTGCCAGGGGCGCTGGCTCCCCACCCCGAGCGTCGGAGGGAGATGCCCAGGCTCCACCCCCACAGCTTGATTCAACTGGACCAGAGTCTAAACATCAAGATGTCTAAAGATGCCCAAGTGATCACAGCGGGCAGGCAGCAGGCTTGAGAACTACAGATCTTGGACAGGACAAAAATGGATGGGTCGGGGAAGCGCCCTGAGGGAATGCCACCATCAGCTGACTCGGTCCAGCAACTTGGCCACACTGCACCAGATTTCCATTTTCATTTTAAAATGCAAGATACTGGCCCTTCAGCCTCGAGCTAGGTCCACGTTGGATAAACAAGGTAATACTGCTGAACACAGAACAACGCTTCGCACGTAAGCCAGGACAGGGACCTCCCTCTTGCTCTACATCTTAAGAACACAAGCCTTCCACATCTGGTAGCCACCTCTCGGCAGTTCTGCCCTTCCCAAAGGGCTTCTCCGGGGCGAGGGTACTCACGTGCCTCTGTGGTCTGGAAAGCATGGATGAGCTGGGAAATGGTCTTCCCTAGTTCCTCCTGGGGTAGTAAACAGTAGAAAAAACTCCCTCAGACCCTGAAGAAACATGGTCTTACAACAAGAAGCCACAACAGAAAGACAACCACACTAAATCTCCACTCGCTCACCACGAGAACCAGCTCCCACCAGCCTTTCTACCCAGCGTGCTTCAGGTCTGCAAGCCGCACTGTTGCAAAAGGCCTCCCCCCGCAGCCAGAACCAACAGAAGCTCATTACAAGCAAGGGCAGCCACTGCTCCCACAACTGGGGCTGAGCCTCAAGCAACAGAGACTGACAGTCAAAGGAGGGCACAGGAGAGATGGGGCCACCTGACCAGCCGGAAGAGACTGACCAGACCCCAGAAACTACTCACTGCCTGCATCACTGTGCTAAGCATCCCCTAGGGCACTTGCTAAATAGACAGTCCCAGAGCCTCCCCTCAGTAGGCATCAAATACAGCACAGGAATCTGCATTTTAAATAAGTACCCTCACCACCAAGTAATTTTTTAAAAAAGTAAACAATTCACTCTGACACTGCTTTAAAAAGGCCAGCATGTGGGGCGCCTGGGTGGCTCAGGAAGCTGGGCGTCTGACTCTTGGTTTCGGCTCAGGTCATGATCTCAGGGTCGTGAGATCAAGCCCTGTGTCGGGCTCCATGCTGTGTGGAGTCTGCTTGGGATTCTCTGTCCCTTCCCCTCTGTCCCCCCGCCCCACGCATGCTCTCTAAATAAATAAATAGAATCTTAAAAAAAAAAAGCTAGCATCTTAGGGCAGTGAAACTGCACCGTACGATCCTGTCCTAGTGGGGCATATCACCACACACTTGTCCAAACCCACAGAATGCACACACTAAGGGTGAACCCTCACACCCACTATGGACTCTGGGGAAGGTCCGTGTCAGGCAGGTTGATCACCTGTAACGAACGCACCACTCTGGTTTGGGGGGGGGCGCTGTTCACGTGTGGAGGAAGGGGCTCTATGAGAGTTCTCTGTACCTCAATTTTGCTGTGAACCTAAAACTGCTCTAAAAATAGTCTAATTTTTAGAAAAATAATTAAAAAAAAAAAACCCTTTTCTCAGCAGACTTGGATTCTGTCCCTCAGTTTCCCTATTTCGGCGCTGTCTGCCACCTCGGACACACACCCGAGCTGGCAATCACCTGTCATGACAGTGCTCCCCTCAGCAGCACCACACACTCTAACCAAAGGCCTCGGCCCTCTGGCTGTAAACAAAGTGTCGAAGCTAGGGGTGCCTGGGTGGCTCAGTTGTTAAGCGTCTGGGTCCTGGGATCGAGCCCCGCATCGGGCTCCCTGCTGGGCGAGAGGCCTGCTTCACCCTCTCCCACTCCCCCTGCTTGTGTTCCCTCTCTCGCTGTCTCTCCGTCAAATAAATAAAATCTTAAATAAATAAATAAATACAGTGTCGAAGCTACAAAACTCGTAACTCAGTGTCTTTCGCTACGTTAAAATGAGGGTCAACCACGTGCCCATCTGTCCCCCCACTGATGCTTCTGCTACCTCCTCATACACTCACCTGGAGGAGCGGCTTGTCCTGCATCCACATGCAATAAAACAGTCCTTTCCAGACCTTCAGCAGCTCGTCATGAGTGAAACCACCTGCACCAAGAACAGCGACACTCAAACAAAGCAAACCCAACTTTTTACTGCCAGGAACAAAGCCAGAGAAATGCTGAGTGCCTGAATTAGATCAAAGTGCTCTAAGTGGAAACATACCTGGCCCTCCCCTCTCCCAGAGGCTCTCCCTCCCCTCCCTTCCATTCTCTCAACTCAGAACCCGCTGGACCTGTGGCTGTTAGTATTCCTCCACGTAACGGCCCTTTCGGCCCTTTCGTTATTCAATAAACACTAAGAATCTACAAGTATCCATATCTGAGGCACCATATTCCATTTGTGGACACTGAACATTGCATGGATTTGCTGGTGATAACTCATTCAGCTTTACACGTTGCGGTTTGTGCACTTTTCTGTTATGCTTCAAATTTTAAAAGGAAAAATTAACTCCATCAAACTAGTAAGACACACAGACATATAAAACCGCTTGAAATATTTATGGAGGTCCTAACTATGTGTCTGGCATGGTGTTCCTGAAGCAGTGGTTCTCAGACTTTAGCACCAGGATGGAAATCACCTGGAGAGCTTCTTTTTTTTAAAAAAAATTTTTATTGTTATGTTAATCACCATACATTACATGATTAGTTTTTTAATGCAGTGTTCCGCCCGGAGAGCTTCTTAAACCAGGCTGCTGGCCCAACCGCCAGAGTTTCTGACTCCTTGGGGCTGGAATGGAACTCATAATTTGCCTTTCTAACAGATGTCGGGGTGACGCCGATGCTGCTCATGGGGACCACAGTTTCAGAACGAGCGTTAGAGTGACCAGTTCACAGGAAGCATGTCCTCTGCCCCGGCGGAGGATCCGCTGCACTCTAACTCAGACCACAACCCAGTAATTATACGAAGAGAGAACTGCCAACAGCAACAAATGCCGCTCCGAGTGCCCAAATAGCGGGTAGCAGGGAAAACAGGGTCGGAAGAGGACGCAGGCTCCCCGCGGGATGGGGGGGCAGCGCCAAAGGCTCGCCAGGCAGGGGATGGGGCTGTGGGAGGCACCCTCGCAGACGCCGCCGCGCGGGCCTGACCGCGTGGAGGACCCACGTGGTTCGGAGGTTTCCCTCCCGCCCCCACACACACACAACACAGACCGCGCCTCCGCCGATCTCCGGCCGCCCCGCGCACCCCGCCCGGCCCGGCCCGGCCCCAAAGGCGCCCCGGCCTCGCAAGGCGCCCCGACCCCGCCAGCCCCGCGCCAACCTGCGGCCCGCTGAGTCCTGGCGACGATGTATTTCCGGAGCTTCTTCACCGCCCGGTCCCGGATCACCTGCTCGTTTCCGGCCAGCCGCTGGGCCAGCTGGATCTCCGGCGGGAGCGGCACGCGCGGAACCATGGCGAACGCCCCGGACCCCTGGGCTTCCGCGACCACGTCTTTTCCCCTGGGCGCGCGTGCGACGTCACACGACCGCGCCGGTCTCGCTCCGGCGTGCGCATGACGTCACAGGGCCGCGACCGCCTCTCCCGGACCACGGGCACCGCCGCTTAGCGGCCAGGCCCCGTCATGGCCGCGTCGCCTGCCTCTGCCGAGGGTCCGTTCGCTCTGGACACTCGTGATTGAGGAGAGGCCAGGAAGCGTGCGCCTGTTAGGGGACTGTAGTTCACCCGGCCGGTGAGGGATTGGAGGAAGACCCTGTGCAGCCCCCATGAACCGCTGATTCCGGCGAAAGTCATCCGAAAGTGCCACGGCCGAGGGAGAACGGCGGCGCGGGCGGGTTTCAGCCGCGCCCCCAGTGGCCCGCCACGGCCGGGGCGCCCTTACCCGTGCCCCAGGGTCTGTCACAGCCGCTCACTCGGGGAAGGAACGGAAGCCCTTCTGGGACTCGAGCGGCCTGGACCAGGAGAAGCCGATAACGCAAGACGGGAGGGTTTGGAAGAGAGAAGGGGAGGAATTTAGTTTGGGTGCCGGCCGCCGGCGGAGGTGGCAGGCTCCAGCCCTAACCGCGGACCGCTCCACCGCCGGCAAGATGGACACCGAGAGTTTTCTAGAGAGAGGGTCAGGGGCTACATGCCGGAGAGCAGGCAGAGAGTGCGTGACCAAGGGTGGGGTTCGGTATGTGCTCAGCCCCTGATCGTGGGCGGGGAAGGGGATGTGTGGCAAGTGGGCTCCTAGGCATTCTGTTGCTATCCGGGCCTTTCCGGTCAGGTGTTTACAACGGTCTGGTCATTGTCAATGTCTCAAGAAAGTGCGATAAGAAGTAACGGTTGGCATCTACTGGAGCAAGAGCGCTGGCTAACACCAGCATCACTTGTGGGGCAGATAAGCCTGAACCTCGCCCAGCCTCTAGGTCTGCACCCCTGCTTTCAGGATGTAGAGGAGGGCTACCCACTGTGCGTGAGAAAACCACGAACTCAGGTCCAGGACAGTTTGCAAGACAGCTGTCCTGATGTCTTCACAAAGTTAATGTCATAAACAAGGACTGAATGGATGAATATATATAAGAGGAGGGAGTGAAACATACAAATCTTGATTGGACCCTGGTTTAAAGAAAAAGCTAAAAAGTCATTTTGGAAATAATTGAGAAAACTTTCATGCAGACTATGTGTAGATTATGGTACAGGATAATTGTTTCTTTTCTAGGGCGTGACGGTGTTTATCTAGAATGAGGTCCAGCAGAATTTTTCTATAAAGGGCTATGTGTCCAGGGACCCCATGACTACCCCCCAGGTTCCCTGATTTGCTAGGAGGACGCATGACTATGATTTATTAAGGCAAAGGGGTAGAAAGCAAAATCAGCACAGGGAAAAGGCTTGCTGAGTGAGTCAAGGAGGAAGCTTCCAGAAGCTTCTCTTGGTGGGGTCACACAGAATTTGCTTAATTCACAGCAAAGAGCTGTGAGACGTTATCTAGCAGGGAGCTGGTCAGAGATCAGTGCCAGGCTTCTACCAGGGGCTAATCACATGGGAACCCTCTGCCTGGCTCGTACCAAAATTCCAGACTCCCAGAGGGAGGAGAGTGGGTGTTCACCACAAGCCTGTGAAAATTAACGAAGGGAAGCCTCACCAAGTGGAGTTGGGAAGCTAGAAGGGGGATCCCCACCACTCAACCGCAATTACAGGAAGAATTTTCAATCACAGACGCAGAAGAATCCTCCACAGGAGAGAATCACCAGTGAGGGTCCCAACAGAGAAAGATGCATCCTGCATCTCCTACAAGAGATCAGCCACCTCTGCAATGTAGCTAATGAGAAGCCATCATCACCCCGAACTCATGCTTTTCTCCAATGGACTTCTGTTCAAAACAAACTCTTCCAACTTCCTCCTTCTTCCCCATAAAATAAAGTTTTTCTCCTTCGTCGGACTAGCCTGTGGTTTTTTCGGTAGCTTGCTTGTTTCCAATTACAATTCTCTGCTATTCCTGAATAAACCCATTTTACCTGGTAAAAATGGTTTTGGCCCAGTGAGGGGCTCTTATCACATAGTGGCGGGAACCCTCTTGACATCCACATTCTCAGGCACCAGCCAACCTTATGAGCATGAGGTTGTAAGGAGAGCAGTCAGGATTTAGGTCAACTCTTTCCTACGGGTAAGATAGTAAGTATTTCCAGAATTATGGGCCAAACGACTGCTGTGGGGCAAGAGCAGCCTCAGACAAAACGTGAAGCATGAGCATGGCTGTGTACCAATAAAACTTTATTTTCAAAACCAGGTGGTATGTGGGGCGCCTGGCTGGCTCAGTCGGAACATTCGACCGTCGATCTTGGGGGCGTGAGTTTGAGCCCCATGTTGGGCATAGAGCTTACTTCAAAACGAAACAAAACCAGGTGGTGTTATGGATCTGTCCCACGGCCGGTAGTCCGCCAGTACCGGATGTTGCAAAATGTTCTTACCTTTAGGAAATAACTACAAAGTGGTGATAGTGAAGTGTCAGGATGTCCAGAAGTTAACTCAATAATCACTCGTAGATAAGCAAATGTGGCAAAATGTTAGCAAAGTTTGACTCGTGGCAGAAGCACAAGTGTCCTGTTTTTCCAACTTTCTCTGCGTTTGGAGATTTTCATGACAAAAAGTTGGGGAACATTTTACAAACTGGTTTTGTTTTTAAGGTTTTATTTATTTATTTGACAGAGCACAAGCAGGTGGGGGGCAGAGGGAGAGAGAAGCAGACTCCCCGCGGAGCAGGGAGCCCGATGCGGGGCTCGATCCCAGGACCCTGGGATCATGACCTGAGCGGAGGGCAGACACTTAACCGACTGAGCCACCCAGGCGCCCCCTAGAAACTCGTTTTAGAATCAGAATGAACTCTTCCACCAACTGTTTAGGTGCCATCTATAAATAGTGACGTGAACAAGACAAGGTCGGGCAATGAAGAGACACACTTGTGCGCTATACAGAGTGCAGCATGATGGCTGGGAACAGTCCTAAAACAGGAAAAAGAAGATGGAAGACAACCAAGCCTAAGAAAAGAGCAATTTTAAACACATAGTGAATTTGTGACACGAAATTTCACCAAAATAACGAAATGCACCAACATCTACTTTAAAAATATGCTTTATGGTATAAACAGCTATTGGATGCTGCCAGCTAATGAAAGATTTGCATCATATCCAGTGTACCTAAAAAATAAATGTGCAGGGCGCCTGGGTGGCTCAGTCAGTTGGGCGTCTGACTCTCGGCTCAGGTCATGAGCTCAGGGTTGTGAGATTGAGCCTCCGTGTCAGGCTCCACACTCAGTGGGGGTCTGCCTGAGATTCTCTCCCTCTGCCCCTTCCCCCATGCTTGCGTGCACTTGCGGGCACACTCTCTTTCCCTCTCAGAATAAGTCTTTTTAAAAAAATAAATGAATAGGGCGCCTGCGTGGCTCAGACATTCAGCATCTGCCTTCGGCTCAGGTCAGGATCCCGGGGTCCTGGGATCGAGCCCCGCATCAGGCTCCCTGCTCCGCGGGAAGCCTGCTTCTCCCTCTCCCTCTCCCCCTGCTTGTGTTCCCTCTCTCGCTGTCTCTCTCTCGCTGTCAAATAAAATCTTTAAAAAATGAATGAATGAATGAATGTGCTCTATTCTGAATGTGAAATTATCCCTCTTTAGGAAACTTTTCAAAGTCTGCTGTGCATTGCAGGCAAGAACCAGCAACGGATACTAAATTAGTGGCAAAAGTATGATAGGAAATATATTTGCAGAGTCGCAAAGGTACTCACTGGTTACAATAGGGAAGTAGTAACTCTACAGTGGAGAAAACCTGGCAGACACCACTTTATTCAAGATGGAAGTCAGTATTACCCGGGAGAAGACACATGGATACCAGGTACCCTCAATAAGATGCACTGAAAGGACACAGCATCACTGTGGTGAGAAAAACAACAACAACAACAACAACCCTCTAAAGGCCTGATAGACAAGGGGAGCCAGTTTAGATTTCTGTCTAAGTCAGCATGACTGTACATAAACTTTGTTTGAACCAAAAGCCTGACTTATGGCCCCGCTACCCACGCATCGTGCACCTGCTTTGTGAATGAGTCAGCTGAAGGAAAACCGTCTGGTCCTTGAGATTCCCGTCAATGCCCCCGGCTCCCCACATTCCTTTACGATAAAACTCAACCTGATCATGAGGAAATAGCCCCAAAGAGAATCAGTCCTCAAAAAAGGTGATCTATACTCTCTAAAAGGATCAAGATCCTGAAAGACAAAGACTGAGAAACTGACAGCACAGCAGTGTAGCAGGAGCCTGGGCCAGAAAGACGACTTTACCGGGACGATGGTGAATGAGTCAGTGCTGTGGGTCAGTTCATCTGTTGTAAAGCCAGGCTTACTTCCTGCTTCTGAAAACTGCTGTTTCTGCTCATGTACAGTGCCAACATTTAGGGAACGTTTACAGAAACTATACTATCTTTGGAACTATACTACCTTTGGAATTATTTCAGTATAAAAAGTTTTAAGTATTAGAAAAGAAAAAAAAAAAAGAAAGTCTAACAGGAATTTGGGGAATGGGTGTCTTTTTCAACTGGTACACACATTACCCCATTGTGTCTGCCCCACAAAGGCGAAGCTGTGTGTGTCTATCCGCCCGCACCCAGGATGGTGTCAGGTGGTGACAGTGTGAAGGACAGTTGTGAACAGCTCACTGGGTACAAATTAGCCACAGAAGTATGCCTATTTATTCCACAAATAGTAAGGACCATCATATTTCCATACAATATCACGTAGGCCCACTTCTCACCCTGGTCCTGCCTGTGTTTTGTTTCTGGAAGGCAGAAAAATCCCTGTTTGTGGATCCCGTGTGTTGCTCCCTGCACAGACTCTAGGGGAGGATCCGGCCTGCCTCCCCCGGGCTCCCGGCGAGCCTTGGCCTGTCATTGCATTGCTGCAGTCTCTGCCCCCCTCATCATGCGGCCTCCTCCCCCGTGCCGCTGTGTCTTCTGGTTTTCTTATAAGGGT